AATAATCACATTAATATAATAAATCATCAATAAATTAGTTGACCCTTATTTCTATATGTAATGAGATAAGGGGGAGGTAGAATAGTAGGCTGCCCCCAACGCCAGGTTGAGACCTCCAAATTATGAAATGCTCTCCGTGAAACTCGATCCCACAACCCTAAGGTTAAGAGTCTTGTGTTCTACCAACTGAACTGGATGGACATTTCTATAATAAATCATCATATTTATCTTATTAACTTCCACGTAAATATCATATCGATCAAAATTAATATATATTTTTTTAATAAAAATCATAAACTAAAAGTATATATAATAAAATGGTATTGGGAGTAGCTTTCAAGAGAAAAAGAAAGGGAACAGTGGCATGGAATTGATGTATTCTTTAGGGTAGTCCGGGTGTACGATAGTAATAATATACAATTAAGAAAAAAATATATCCAAAATTTTAATATATTTTTAATATTTTCGGTAAAGTGTTATTTAAAATATTATTTATTTTTATCATAAATTTTAATTTCGTTACTTAATTTTTTATAGAAAAAATAATATTTTAGGTAATGCTCAATATTAATATTTTTAGTAAAAAAATAATATTTTATGTAGTGTTTTACCGAAAATGTTAAACATTTTAGGTAATTCTTAATATTAACATTTCTAGTAAAAAATAATATTTCAGATAGTATTTTATCATAAATATTAAAAAAATGACATTTCCAGTAACATCTTTCATTAACGGTATATTAAGATTATTGTAAATTAGACAATTTTTTTTAGCTTTCTATTGTAAATGAGTTGTGAACATGGTTTTCAGAACCAGACCGGTTAGTTAACCGGTCATGCTATCGGTTCACTGATTCAATCGGTCGAATCGGTCTGATCGGTCGGAAGAACCGGACAACGTCATAATTATTTAAAAAATTAAATAAAAATACCAAAAATATTTAATAAAAAATAATTTTTTATATCACAAGTCATATTCAAAGCAAGTCATAACATATATAAGTTAAAAACCATAAAATTAAGTGAAACAAAATGATTCAAATTAACTACAACATAATATTTAAGGTAAAACATATTAAATAATAAATATAATTATATAACTATAATTAAAAAATAAATTTGGGGTTTTTATGTCAGAATTTGGTGAAACAGAATAAAAAACCGTACTCAAGATGGCGAAAAAATGTCAAATGGAGGTTTTCAAAAAAGTCAACACCGGTCAACAGTGATGGTCAACGGTAATAGTCAACGATCAATGACTCGACTCGGCTCGACTCAGTACTATTCGGCCCGATTATGAAATGGGCCAGTTTATATTTGGGTTTGGGCCAGATAGGTATACAGGTCGGATATAGATATGGATCGAACACGAGTACGGATTAAGTAGTGGGTCGAGTTGACCCGCTTATAGAAGCCCACCAGGGCGGTAGACAAGCCCCCACACGCAGCGACAGTGCATGCGAGGTCTTATTGGGACTAAAAATGACTAAAAATTACAATTTTTTTTTTAAATAGTTCTAAGCGTTTTAAGACAAACCTAACTCGGTTTACAACTATGAACGAATGGAGAGCTTGATTCGATAATGTGAGGAATTTGTTTTCCTTCACTCCTCACACACCAACGACGTTGGCGACATCGGTAAACTCACGAGCAGCATAAATGATTTAGTTTTTGCTTGTGTGTCAATTAAAGCAAAACTTGCCTCGTTTATAGAGCAATAATTGAAGTGGTGCAATTATTCAACTAAACATTTTAACATTTGTGTTTTTGTTAAAAAAATATTGTCCTTTTGCTCTCAGTTTCCCATATCCTTTTAATAGACATAGTTCATGTGATAGGAAAATAGCAGATCTATTATTTCTTTTTAAAACTCAAAATTTGAATTTATAGAAGGATGCAAAATATTAAAAAGAAATAATATTTTTATAAATAATTCGAGTTTAAATAGTTGTATCGTATAAAATATCTGTTTATTGTCAATAATCTAAAATATATTTTGAAATCATAACAAACTGTTAATAATTTTTATTAGATAATTGGACTTTCTCGTTAATTAAATTAGGTTAAAGAGCAAAATGCTATTTGCACAAGATATCGTTTGGATTGGTATTTTTTAAGGATAGGATTTTTTTATTGTTGTTTCTCAAAATTAAAATATTTTTCCAATTGATCAAAATTTTCTAACTCCCAATTATATATATATATATATATATATCTCATCATATATAAATTTATTCTCATAAAACATTTATATAATAAATAATAAAATACCGAAAGACAACTAATCTTATGGCATGCTTATTACTATTTGGTGTACAAAATGAAAAGAATTTAATTTTTATTGTTACTATAGTATAAGGTTAGTTCTATTGAAAATATGTTCAAGAATGTTGACAGGACTCTTCTAAGGAAATCATATCAATTTTATCTTTTGATTTTATAAATTGTACTTATTTTTAAAAATTAGTGTTTTTATTTTTTTTGTTATAATATTTTTAAATTTATTATTTCTTAAAGATTAAATAAGACTTTAAACTCTCAATCAAAATCAATTATACCATTAAAAATAAAAAGAATATAGTCCTCGTTCATATGTAAATAATCACATTAATATAATAAATCATCAATAAATTAGTTGACCCTTATTTCCATATGTAATGGGATAAGGGAAATGTAGAATAGTAGGCTGCCCCCAACGCCAGGTTGAGAGCAACTTCCGTAGGAGACCTCCAAATTATGAAATACCCTCCGTAGAACTCGATCCCACGACCCCAAAATTAAGAGTATTGTGCTCTACCAACTGAACTGGATGGACATTTCTATAATAAATCATCATATTTATCTTATTAACTTCCACGTAAATATCACATCGATCAAAATTAATATATATATTTTTAATAAAAATCATAAACCAAAAGTATATATAATAAAATGGTATTGGGAGTAGCTTTCTAGAGAAAAAGAAAGGGAACAGTGGCATGAAATTGATGTATTTTTTAGGGTAGTTTGGGTGTACGATAATAATAATATACAATCAAGAAAAAAATATATCCAAAATTTTAATATATTTTTAATATTTTTAATAAAGTGTTACTTAAAATATTATTTATTTTTATCATAAATGTTAATTTCATTACCTAATTTTTGATAGAAAAATAACATTTTAGGTAACGCTCAATATTAATATTTTTAGTAAAAAAATAATATTTTATGTAGTGCTTTATCGAAAATGTTAAACATTTTAGGTAATTCTCAATATTAACATTTTCAGTAAAAAAATAATATTTCAAATAGTATTTTATCATAAATATTAAAAAAATAATATTTTCAATTACATCTTTCTTTAACGGTATATTAAAATTATCGTAAATTAGACAAATTTTTTTTTAGCTTTCTATTGTAAATGAATTGTGAATGATGTTGATAATTATGTAACAAGCAACCCACTGTGCTGTGAGTGGCCCACCCTCATCATCATCACCGTGGCAACCGGACCGGTTTTATTTTCTACAATATATTTACCAGAATATATTAAATATATAAAAATCATATTATTTTAGAATTTAGCTTTATGAACATGTTGATAATTAATAAAAATCTTTGTACAAAAATAAAAAACAAATTTACTTTTGAAGAAATATAATAACTAAATTTTAAATTTTAAAATAATTAAAGGATATTTAAACCTGCTCCCAAACAAAAAGGCCTTATATATTTGCTTTCTTTAATGTGAGGGTAAACTATCTTTTCAATGTCACAATTATCACTGTTATTTCGTTTTAGTCATTTAATTATTTTTGTTTTAAAATCATACATAACATTACGTTTTGATTTCATATAGATCATCCAGTACTAAAGAAACTAACGATGATATCGATATTTCACCATAAAATAATATTGTCATCATTGATTTATTTTAGAAAAATACCATGTAAACAATAGTAGCGGATCAAAAAAATTAAAATCCACTTTCTTTAACAAAATATATATGCGCTTTTTTCTCATTTGTTTATCATATTGAACAAAATTTAATAACTTATCTAAAATTACGAGAATGCACTTGGCCCATTAAGGGTTAAGTACATCCCCAATTAGAAGTTTTGTTAATTTTTTAACGGAATGTGATCAAAATAAAATCAATATGTAATATTAGGCATCAATGACAAATCTAAAAATTAAAAAATAGATGTCTAAAATATTAATACTATCTTTTAAAAATAAAATGGATATGCAAATTTCTTTCTTTTTTTCTCATGCTCTTAACCCATTGAACTAAATTTAACAATTTTTCTAAAATAATGGGATGCAGCTGCTCTCCTACTCCACTTTATACATCCGTCCATGTTAGGTATAATTTTGGAAAAAAATAATAATTGTGTGACCAAAACAGAATAAAAATAATAGTTGAGATATTAAACGTGTAGTTTAATATTAATGTTATTTGTTACACCTCCACTAGCTCGATATAGAATCACAACCGACACCGGTTTGAGTTATTTAAACAACAATTTCAATGACACAAAATTCTAACTAAAAGATAAAACTAAAATTGACACAACTTTATCCTATAGAGATAATAAATAAAAGTATATCATATGTTTACGTTAAGGGATGTCTGTTTCTAAATTTTTATTCTTTGAAAAACTGATAACATAATGAGTTTTCTAATATTATTTGTTTGTTACTGTAAAATTTTTATTCATTTTTTTCCTGATTTTTACTTAAAATATTTAAATTTTTGTATAAAATAATAAAAATTTTGAAGTAAAAATGACCACAAGCACACTTTTTACTACTGTGGGGTGTTTGGTTCTGAGGAAAAGTGAAAGATTCTTGTGTCATTCGTTTTGTTTTTTAGTAGATCTTTAGTGGCATGTGTCCTTTTTGCATGCTGTTCATCTTTTTTGCTTACTGTTATTGAATTAAATTTCAAGGTTTATCTTTGAAATTTCCTTTTTTGTTTTGAATATCTCCCTTTCTTCTCCGTTCATCTCTTTCATGGTTTTTATGATAATCTGCAAGTTTTTTTCTCTTCAAGAAAGTGAATTCCGATGAGAATTTTGAATTCATTTTTGCAGCTGAAAGGAGAAAGATAGCAATGGACCACCCAAGCCATGGAGTAATTTAATGAAGAGGTTGAGAATATGAGAGTGACAACTTGTTGAATGTGTTTTGTTCTTCTGCTTTCCTGTTTTCCTTTGATTGGTTGAACGTACAGCAAACTTTTTTTCCTGTTGTTTCATATGAAAGCATCAACATGTTTTTTTTAAACAATAAAACACTTTCATGTGAATTAAAGTTGCCGTAGGAGCCCTTTGTTCTTGTAAGTTCATAGCTAAAACAAGGATCAATGGAGCCAACAAACCATAAGTTTTTGGAAAGAGTTGTTTCACAGAGAGCTCTACAGATGGGGAATTCATTTCCATGTCAGATTTGTGTGGTGGGTTTTCTCTGTGGAATTTGCTTGACTTCTTTGTTTTTGGCTGTTCTTACATCTGTTGGTACTTTTGGGTTTACTGGGATTTCCTTTTCATCACTGTCAATGGGGATTTCTCCATGGAATTCAAGCTCTGAGATTATCAGTAAGTTGTAATTTACCCCTCAATTCTATTTATTTGTATGTTAATGGCATAAAGTTCTTAGTTTTCCCAGATGATGATGTGATGTTCATATGAATTCATGAGAATTTTTCCAGTGAAATTCAGTCAAAATTTGATGGTTTGATGGACATGATATTCCAAGGGTGTTGTTGAAGCAAACTAAAAGTTTTGGCATTACTTGTTGCACAATTTTTTTGTTTAGATGACTTTTGACTTTGTAGATAATGATGATTAGTTTCTTTAATCCTAATCACTTGACATACTTTAGCTACAAGCCACCATCTCAACTTCTTTTTCTTTTATTTTTACTTTGTTAGATGTTATTTGTATTTCGGGTTCGGGGTTAGATCGGATACATAAACATGTCCTACACTTTGTCGAACATATTCATGTTTGTTTTAACATCAATGTGTGTTCTTGTATCGAAATGTAGATGTTATTTCGAGTTCGGATTGCAACTTTAAAGTAAAAGAAACCGAGAGATGGGTGGATTTGAAGCAAAGGGAACCAGAGAGCGATGATGGTGAGAGAGTTTCTTTATTGACTGAAGCATGGGGTGCTTTACTAGCTGATAGGCAACCCCAAGAAAACGAGTTCTTGCAACGATTCGGACTAAGTAAATCAAGTTTACCGGATGCCCCGCATTTGGAGAACTGTAAATTAAGTGCACGAGTGAATAAGCGTCTCGATGCACGTTCAGGAGCTGGGAAATTTCCCCCATGGACAACTTGGAAGGGTTCATTAAACATGTATCCAGCAACTGCGACCGATGGGAATGTAAGACGCCTTAACCATCAGCCAGTCTCGGACAGTGCTCATCCTCCATGGGTATGTTCCTTAGCTACATAATCCGTAGATGCTTGCAGATGTGATCATACTTGTTCATTCTGTTATTGTGTTTGCATACTTCACGTTATGGTATGTTTTGGCGTCGTTCGTTTCTGAAAATTTGGATCTTTTATTTACAGATTGTGGGATCGGATGAAGAAAACTACCCTCTTACCCGGAAAGTGCAGCGTGACATTTGGATCCATCAACATCCAATAAACTGCAGTGATCCTAACATAAAATTTCTCGTGGCTGACTGGGAAGTATTACCCGGCTTTGGCATTGGGGCTCAGCTTGCCGGTATGGCAGGGCTTCTTGCCATTGCAATTAATGAGAAAAGGGTGCTCATTACCGGACACTACAATCGAGCCGACCACGATGGTTGTAAAGGTATGAACCGTAACAATTTATTGCTTTATATGCAACATTTTCTTGGAACTGTAAGAATAATCTTAACAACAGCATTGTTCTGGTATGATGTTGATTGCAGCATCATGCAGTAGTTGGTCTTGCTACTTCTTCCTAGAGACATCCCGGGAATGCCGAGATCTTGCATTCAAGCTTACGAAGAACAAAGAGGCATGGGAAAAGGGAACCATAAAACGAAAAGACGATTATAAATCTAAGGAAATATGGACAGGGAAGATTCCAAGGTATAATTCACAGCAGTTGCAAATTTGTTATATGTGTTATGTATAAACATGAACTCGGAAAACATTAGTGTGTCTTCTATCAATGATTTCACTATTTGATCAGGGTATGGGGTGATCCTTGGAGTTATTTGCAGCCTACGACAGATATAAACGGAAGTTTAATCGCCATTCACCATAAGATGGACCGAAGGTGGTGGAGAGCACAGGTATGTTCGTGTTATCTCAACTTTTGTAACGTGTTGAATATGAGAATGTGAGTGACAACCTTCTTTCGTACGCGAAATCCGTGCTGCGAATATTATCTGATGTTTTCTTTGACTTAAACAGGCTATTCGATATCTAATGAGATTTCAAACAGAGTATACTTGTGGTTTATTGAACATCGCTCGGCATGCTGCATTTGGGGAAGAAGCTGCGAAAATGGTTCTTGCAAGCATTGACAGAGAGTGGCCGAAGGTTTGTTCATCTAAGCCTTAGCCTTTTCGGATTTGATTTCGGCTTGTAGTTTACACTGAATTGAGCATCTTCCCAACCCTGGTGATATATGTCTCAATTCAGACAAAGGTGCGGGGGAATGATCCTCTGAACCGTGTCGGATACATATCCTTATCCAACACTCATCCTTAATTCGATTGATGTAATGAAAATCTTACTAGAAAGAGCTGAATCATGATCACCTACTTTGATGAACCATTACTATGCATACTGAACTCATTCTCGTTTTAAATTGCCCTGGTGACTATTTCCCACTTGAGCTTTGTTTGACAGGTGATTACGAACAAGCCGAAGTCGGATATTGAAGAATTTGTGTGGTCAAATCACAGACCTTGGGTTCCTAGGCCATTGCTAAGCATGCATGTAAGAATGGGAGACAAGGCATGTGAAATGAAAGTGGTAGAATTCGAACAATATATGGGACTTGCTCACCGAATTCGAATGCGCTTTCCGCATCTCAACAACATTTGGCTCTCCACCGAAATGCAGGTAAGCATTTTCTAAAATTTTTACCCTGAGAACAATCCATATGCTATCTATCTAATATGACGAATGATATAACTAAATCTCAGGAAGTGATCGATAAAACGAAATCATACCCTCTTTGGAACTTCTACTACACAAACGTGAAACGCCAAGTCGGGAATGCATCAATGGCTGCATACGAGGCAAGTCTTGGAAGGAAAACCAGCACAAACTATCCTCTTGTAAACTTCTTGATGGCAGTCGAATCAGACTTCTTTATCGGTGCATTGGGATCGACATGGTGCTTTCTCATAGATGGCATGAGGAACACCGGAGGGAAAGTAATGGCTGGGTATTTAAGCGTCAATAAGGATAGGTTCTGGTAGAGAAACCTGTGAACCAGAGAATGACTGTAGGCATGTATATAGTAGATAAACAATATATAGCTATTAAATTTGTTCATACATGCCATTTTGCAAATAATGTTATGCCTGTTTGCATGTAACGAGATCACTGACTACATATGTAGAATATAGTTGCAATTAAATGGAGCAAATCCCTTGTCTCAGCTTTAAATGAGCATCTATTTTATTTCGACTCTTCGATCGACAGTTACACCTGAATCTGATTAATCACTCGATGTTTACCTTTACGTGAGCCGAAAGGTGGTGGCGAAAGGGCAAGAAATTGGCAGGTAAAAGAATAACAATCACAGAAATGAAACTGTGATTTGAAACTTTGACGACCAAGAACTTGGATACAAAGATGTAATGTTCAATAAAATTTAGAACTGAAACAAAGCTAATAAAGAAACGAGGAGATTTTGGTCCCTCTCCAATTTCACATCACATAACAAAACAACAGAAAGAAAGGCTCTTCTTTAATCAAAGTGATTACGCTACCAATCATTCAGCAAATCAACTGTCCCATTTGGCTATTTGCAAATAGTGAAACGTCAGATGGGTGTAGGGAGGAGACTTGCCTCCTCAATCTGTTGTAAGATGCCACTAAAACAGTAAAACAACCGGGATCGTGTGTTTATTCTTCCACCTCTTCATTCACCTGCTGGCCTCCATCCCCACCTTTGGCTATGGCAGGCCTTTTGTGCTTCTGGCTTCTGGCTTTCTTGGCTTTCATGCGACGTTTTTTCTCGTTTGCGTCCACCCAGGTATAGTCGGATGGTATGTAGAAAGGATCAACCTCGTCCTTATATCGATTACTATCACTATCACTTAACTGGCCACCACGAGTCCCTCTCATCCACGAAATCCATGATGTTGAACCCTCTGACTCTTTTGACTTAGCATCCAGGAAATGAACAGGGCTGGAAGGAGGGGTCACGAACTCGTCCATCACTATCACTTAACTGGCCACCACGAGTCCCTCTCATCCACGAAATCCATGATGTTGAACCCTCTGACTATTTTGACTTAGCATCCAGGAAATGAACAGGGCTGGAAGGAGGGGTCACGAACTCGTCCATCGGCTGAAGCTCCTCAAATTTAGTGAAAGTGACAAGGACTCGAATAGTAGGGACAATAGGAATGGCAACCTAGAAAAGGGAATGCATGAAGTATCAATGTGAATTCATTCAAAACTTAACAGAAAGCTCTTTTAAATATAAATATTTTACAGAACTGACACAACACAAATTGTTAAGAAAGCATGTCACGCTCATCAGACAACACTTTCTACAGTACTTGCACAACAGTTTCCATATAAACATTATAATGATCTTATAAGGGCCAGTTTCAAAGTTAAATTAATGATATAAGTGTTCAAAATAAGTACAATAGAACCGGCAAAAGAAGAAATAGGGTATTTTGCAGCCTCACTATAATTACTGTCAAAAAGGTGGCCTCCTAAACTAGAAATACAAAGGTAGAAATGTAAATAATAACCAAAACCATGCTTTGTAAACCCTGAATCATATCTACATATTTTAATGTAGAGTTTCAGAACAGACTCCAGGATATGGAGAACATAAATATTGATCATAAAGTGCCTTCACCTTCAGAGGTTTATAGGTTCAATATCCATCCCACATTTTAGCATAGTTTATAGTTCCAATGTCATTTTGAAAGATTAAATGACGAAGACACTCTTAAATCTTAATACCTATATAAGACAAGCCTTCACCTAGTGACTACAGCTAGGGTCCAAAAGCATCAGGCACTAATGCATTATGACAGTTGCAGGAATTGCAGATCCAACAGAAAGAAAGATGGTAAAAGAGCATATTCCCATCAAATAAACTTTATCTCTCCACCACCTCCACACAAAAACCATCTTTGCCTTCTATTATCAGACACAAATACCAACAACACAGGTTCGGGTGAGCAATTGCCAAGCCGTCATAAGATTTTCAACCAGAAAAAATTATAGTAAACCATTAATAATATAAGAACGACTTCTGATACACATGTATGTATATAAGAATGCATTTCTCAAATAGTAATGAGGCCGCAATCTATTGCACAACCGGACCTCAATTCACTGGTAAACACAAAGCAACCCCCTACTTCAGCACTTTTTCAAGTTAATTTTCAACCATTATTACATGTATATGGGTTTAAAGCACCATAGGACCAAGGATACCACTAACAGACTCATTCCCTGTGTTTGTCAGAATTGATGTGAAAAAAAAATGAGGTGATTAGATCACAGGAGACAAATAAAATATGGGCAGCAAAGTGTTCTTCGTAGCAATTTAAGAATTTTCTCTAACCTAGTACATTTTTCCCTGCCTAAATATATTAATCGCTCTGTATTTTCAGAGTACTACCACTCTTAGTCAATTGTGAAGCATGAATTCTACTTCAGTATCTTTTATCATAACTTCCTCTGTTCCAACCAAAAAAATCAAATTAAATAGAACATTTCAGACACAAATAAAATCATTATTTATGCATACAATTGAAACCTAAACTGATTTTTTACCATAAATTCAGATAAATGTTTGCGTTGTTGGCTTGATATAAGCTTAAATTACCTTGACAGGAAATGTTCCCAAAGGCAGCTTAGTTGTCAAAAGCTCCCTTAATCTCCTTATAGCCTTGACCTTATTGGCTAATATGTCAAGTAAAGGCAGGAGTTCCTGTGTCTTTAACGGGAAATCTAGTGTTAACCACAAAACAAGTCTCAAGCCCTTTTTGTACTCACTCTCAAGTTTAGAATCAGTATTACCCCCTTTCTTCTTTTTATTGCTGCTGTTATCTTTACCCTTCTTGCCATCCGCAGCATCTTCCTTCGCAAATTCGGATGATGATCTATGACTATCAGCTTGTCTCAGATTGCTACCTTCTGGAGCCGATTTTGAGAGTTTCCCAATCTTTGAATCATCAGGATCATCAGTATTCTTTGAGCCTTTCTTGTTCCAGCCAAACCAGCTCTTCTTTTCCTTAGCATCACCATTTGATTCACAATTTTCATAGGAACATCCTGATCAATTTTCTTTGCAGTCAACAACTCCATGCTCGTCATCATCAAAACCATCTGAATTTCCCATATGAAGTGCTGAATTCAGTTGCATCCTTTCCTCGGCTGTCAATACATCATCATACTCGTCATTTTCACCACCATTTGCCATCCTGTGATGAAGAAGATAGATTAGGGAAATAGAGAAGAAGAAATCGTAGAGTAAAGAGCAGAATAGAGATACAGAAATAAGATTTTCATTCAAAATATGCTTGATTGTCTCTTTACACAGTATTGTTTTATTTGTTTACAAGGTACCAGCAAATCTAACTAATGCCAGCTGTAGATTCCAAATAACCGTTTGTTATTTTCTCAGCTAAAGGGCCACCAACTGGGCTTGTTGTTGCTCGTGGACTCAGCTCTCCTAATGGTAATTAACTCCTCGTGCTCGTGATCATTAATCAGGTACTCATTCCCAATTCTCTATCAATCCCTAACCCTTGATTTCATTTCCCCCAATTTCATCTTCGCTTCCTTCTTTTCTTCTCTCTTCTCTCCCGATCGTGACAATACCCGCTGCTGGAGATGATCCTTGTCCCCAAGGATCGAAGCCTGGAAACTGGCCTCGAATAACAGTATAATCCTCCCACGTATCATGTGTCTCATCAAGGTTCGTCCACCGTACCAACAACTGAGTCACAAGTCTGTTTTGGCGATTAATGATTCGTCTTCCCAAAACTGTATATGGTTCGATTCGAAACTGATCATTTATGCCTATGGCAGGAGGGTCCGTAGAGGAAACGACAGAATCTCCAATATGTTTCTTCAAAAGACTGACATGAAAGACAGGATGCAACCTCGATGTTTCAGGTAAGCTCAAACGATAGGCCATTTCCCCGATTCTCTCTGTAATCTTATATGGCCCATAGAATTTTGCTGCTAATTTTAAATTCTTTCTCAGGGCTAGTGTCGTCTGACGATAAGGTTGCAGCTTCAGGTAAACAGAATCCCCCACTTCAAAAACTCTTTCTGATCTGTGTTTATCTACTTTTTGTTTCATTCTGTTACTTGCTATCTCAAGTTGTTCTTTAACTAGCCTTCGAATATCTTCTCTGCTACGCATTAGTTCATTGACAGACTGCACTTTAGTTTCTGTATACCAAACCATAGTAGGTGGTTTGTACCCATAAAGTGCTTGAAAGGGTGTGATCTTTAGGGCAGAATGGTAGGTAGTATTATACCACCATTCTGCATGAGGCAACCATTTAGCCCAGTGCTTTGGTTGAAAAAATATAAGCTCCTTAAATATTGCTCCAAGCATTGGTTAACCCTTTCTGTTTGACCATCAGTCTCTGGATGGTAAGCAGTACTAAATAAGGTTTTAGACCCCAATTGTTTCATTAGTTCTCTCCAAAAGAGACTAGTGAATGTTTTGTCTCTGTCAAAAATGGCTAACTTAGGTTGCCCATGAAACTTGTAGACATTATCCAAATACAATTTAGCCACATCAGATGCAGAATAAGGGTGTGATAATGCTAAAAAATGGTTGTATTTGGTAAATTTATCAACCACTACCAGAATGCAATTCTTTCTCAAGGATGTAGGTAAACCTTCTATAAAGTCCATAGTGATTACCTCCCAAGCCTGCTGAGGAATAGGTAATGGCTGTAAAAGTCCTGGTTTAGGAACATTCTCTACTTTAGTCTGTTGACATACATAACAAGACTTGATGTAAACTACCACCATAGATTTTAACTTAGGCCAGTAGAAACAAGCTCTAATTCTCTGATAAGTAGCCTGAATTCTAGAATGACCTCCATGAGGTGAATCATGTAGGGTTTGAAGAATTTGTAATCTTAGAGCTCTAGCAACACCAATATAAACTCTATCCTTATATCTAAGGATACCTCTAGAGTATTTCCATCTAGAGTCTGCATTAGGATTGACAGTTAAGACAGAAATCCATTCAGTAGCTACTGAATCCTCTTTATAGCTTTCCTCAACCTGCTGAACCCAACTAGGAATAATTAAGGTAGTCCCCATTGCAAAACAGTGAGATTGATCTTCCCATTGTCTAGATAGTGCATCAGCTACTATGTTGGACTTACCTTTTCTATATTGAATAGTATAATCCAAGCCCAATAATTTAGTCAACCCCCTCTTTTGAATAGCAGCAGTCAACTTCTGTTCCAACAGATATTTAAGAGATTCATGATCTGTCTTGATTATAAAAGGAGTGCTCTCTAGATAATGCCTCCATTTAGAGACTGCTAGTAGAATAGCCAAGTACTCTCTTTCATATATCGAGAGGGCAACATGTCTAGGGCTAAGAGCCTTGCTAAGGTAAGCAATAGGTCTGCCCTCCTGAGTTAAAACAACCCCAATGCCTCCTGAACTGGTGTCTATTTCCAAATAAAACTGCTTACCAAAATCTGGTAAAACTAGAACTGGAGCAGTACACATGGCTTGTTTCAAGTTTTCAAAAGCATGTAAAGCTTCACTGTTCCAAGTAAAACTATCTTTCTTAAGCATTTGTGTCAATGGCTTACTGATTATTCCATAATCCTTTATAAATCGCATGTAATATCCTGTCAATCCCAAAAAGCCACACAAAGATTTTAAAGATTTAGGAATAGGCCAATTCCTCATAGATTCCACCTTAGTAGGATCAGTTGAAACTCCAGCAGCTGATATAATATGACCCAAATAATCTACCTGAGTTTGTCCAAAGAAACATTTGGACAACTTGGCAAATAACTGGTTAGTGTGCAATATCTCCAAAACCAGTTCCAAATGATTAATATGATCATTCATAGAGGTGCTATAGACTAGGATATCATAAAAAAATACCAAAACAAATTTTCTAAGAAATGAACTAAACAAGTCATTCATTAGAGCTTGAAATGTAGCAGGGGCATTAGTAAACCCAAAAGGCATTACCTTGAATTCATAATGACCCTGATGAGTTCTGAATGCTGTTTTGTAAATATCCTCAGCCTTAATTCTGATTTTCCAATAACCAGACCTGAGATCAATTTTTGAAAAGTAAACTGCTCCATGTAGTTCATCTAAGAGGTCCTCCACAACAGGAATAGGAAACTTGTATTTCACAGTCATACTATTTAGTTTTATGTAATCAACACAAAATCTCCAAGTCCCATCCTTTTTCTTTATAAGAAGACAAGGAGAAGCAAAAGGACTTTTGCTAGGTTGAATAATAGAAGAGGAGAGCATGGTAGCTATATGTTTTTCCACCTCCTCCTTATGATTATGTGGAAATCTGTAAGGTCTCAAATTTATAGGAGCAGACTCAGGTTTTAAAGGAATGACATGATCATGATTCCTTGTAGGTGGTAGACCTGTAGGTTCAACAAAAACAGACTGATATTTATTCAAGAGAGGTTGTAGAGCTGTAGGAATAGTCTTTGAATCTTCAAACATAGATAACAACACCACATGGCCCAAAATAGCAGAATCAGAGGCTGTCATTTTTAGCATGGTAGCCCTTGAAATTTGTTGCAAAATATTTTAGGGTTGCTGGCCATGTATAATAATATTTTCCTCTTGATGAACAAAACTCAGAGTCAATTTGTTAAAGTCCATCAAAATTGGACTGAACAACTTCATCCAATCCACCCCTAACACCTTATCACTGCCCCCCAATTTTAGGAGTCTAAAGTCATGAACAAAAGAATGACCTTGCATCTGCCATTCCACCTTATTACACCTTGCTGAACTAAAAAGTTGTTGTCCATTAGCCACTGTAATAGCCAAAGGAAAAGGTGTATTCACTAAAATACCAGCATCAGCCCACTTAGGTGTTAGGAAACTGTGGGTACTCCCACTGTCAATCAGAATATTCAATGGTCTCCCTTGAATAGTTCCCTGAATCCTTAATGTATTATGGCCAATACAATATGTGATAGCATTCATTGATATCTCTAAGTTCTCCTCCTCCTATAGATTTTTTTGTTCCAAATCAGTAGGTAAATTATCTGAAGGTATAACAGTGTCATCCTCAATCATCATATTCAACTGTTTTACCTTACACTGATGGCCTGGAATAAATTTTTCACCACACATAAAACATAAATTGTTTTGTCTTCTGTAGTCTATCAGGTTCTGTCTTTGTGGATTATTGGATACATTCTTTTGTGGTAATGGCAGCTGGTTAGGCTTAGAACCAAGTATAAGGTTTGAATAAGCTAGTTTTTTTTACAAAAGGTCTGAATCTTTTGCTCTCAAATTCAACAGATAGCTCATACAATTTAGCTTGCCTGCTTGCCTCAGACAATGTTTTAGGGTCTAGAACTTTGACTCTATGTTTAATGTCATCCCATAATCCACTAATAAACAAAGAGACAAAAAATTTATCACCTAAAGTAGGATTCTATAAGAGCATATGAGGCTGTAACTCTTCAAATCTGTCTTGATATTCCTCTACCGACCCTTTCTGGACTAATTTTGTAAACTCCTCCACTATATCCACAAAGGCTTTATCACAGAACCTATAACATAAATCTGCCTCAAACTCATGCCATGTCACATGATGTTTTTGCATAATATAACCATCAAACCAAATCTCTGCTTTACCAATTAAATACATTGTAGCTACTTCCACTCTTTGCTCCTCAGCAATACTACATAATGAAAAATATTTTAAGCATTTCTGTAGCCAACCTCTTGGATTACTTCCATAAAAAAAAGGTAGCTCAAAGCATAATCACTGACATACTAGAAGACCCCCCTGTACCTCTTTTATCCACTTCTAAAGCCATTAACTGATTTCTAGCAGCACTGTTCTCCCCCATTTGGTTATCATTTTTGAAGCTAGCTAGATGAACATGCAAATCATTCGGTTTAGACTTTAGAATACCAGGTTCATCTGGTTTATAAGTAAACCGAGTCTTATCATTAATTACTGTCACTTTAACAGGTTGTTTGCTACTCATATTAAATGAGTCAGGGGTCTGTACCTGATCTTCAGCAGACTGGTCTTGATCCTCCTTCCTACCAGTCAGAATCTTTAAAATTTCCTCAACATAACCATGATTCGTAGCCATCCTAGACTCCAATGCAGAAATCATGTTATCCTGATTCTCCTACCATTTAGGAGATTAGACTCATCTTGTCCTTGTTTCACCAGTGTTGTCAATTCCTCCATTTGTTTCTGCAACCTAGCTAAATCTTCTGCCATGTTCTGATTTTTCTTGGGCATGCCACCAAACTTGCCAGAAACCGAGGCTCTCGATACCAATTTGTGATGAAGAAGATAGATTAGGGAAATAGAGAAGAAGAAATCGTAGAGTAAAGAGCAGAATAGAGATACAGAAATAGGATTTTCATTCAAAATATGCTTGATTGTCTCTTTACATATTACTGTTTTATTTGTTTACAAGGTACCAACAAATCTAACTAATGCCAGTTGTAGATTCCAAATAACCGTTTGTTATTTTCTCAGCTAAAGGGCCACCAACTGGGCTTGCTGCTGCTCGTGGTCTCAGCTCTCCTGATGGTAATTAACTCCTCGTGCTCCTTACATGATCATTAATCAGGTACTCATTCCCAATTCTCTATCAATCCCTAACCCTTGATTTCATTTCCCCCAATTTCATCTTCGCTTCCTTCTTTTCTTCTCTTTTCTCTCCCGATCGTGACACATCCTTTCTTCCTCGTCCACAGGAAAAATCCCTTCATCAGTCATTGCACCAAGAACCCTCCTTGACTTCACACTGACTGTCACATGAAGCATACCATAGATTTTAGCCTTCCAGTTTCCAACCATCTCACTTCTCTCTTGTCGCCTCCAATTTAAATGAGCAACAAGTTCAGCCTCAGTGACATCAATACCAGGCCTATACATATTAGCTTAAGACATCAATTGCACTTCATGAGCAACTTCTGATTCGGTGGGCTGTGCACCAGCCCCCTCTAGAGCATTTGTAACTTCTTTTTCCTTGTGAGAAAGAACAATCAAAGATCCTGGAGGAAGCGAAAGATTCCCATCCTCAGAAGTATAGCCTTCTCCTAGAAAGAGGAATGTTTGATCCAATCTTTGAATACGAAACCCATCAAATCCAGTAAGTGTCATATCAGCACGGAGATTCAAACCCTTCTTCCAAATGCGATAGGTGTCTGATGGTACAATGCTTCCTATAAACGGAATGACTGAACTTTCAAAATGAAAAGACATCTCCATGTAAAAGTCACGGATACGAGCTGCCGAGCAACAATCCTGGGTAGCCTCCGGTACCATTTTGCCCAGGCAAGTGGCTGGTAGTGTCGAGCAATGATCATAACAATGGCATCTTCCCTTGTGCAAACAGTTTCTTGCAAAGCACTCAAACCCTTTATTATCTCGAATTCTGATTGATTTCAATAATTTGTTTCCAATGTGGCGTGGTGGTAACAATGAAATATTGATTTGCAGCAGTGGTTGCTGCCATACAAATGCAACAATGACAAATGTTACATTTTCCTTATTCTCATTTCGTCTTATCATTGTAGCTATCCGTGGTAGCTTCTACGGTTGCAATTTCATGTAATAAAAAAAACTCAATTCATAGCGTAAACAGGAGTAGAAGATTGAAAAATAATTACTTCTAACTACTGCCTGAATTCAATACAATGTTGTAATTTCATCGTCCAGCACGTTAAGTTTCACTGTATGTATAAAAAATCAAAACGATAAAGTCTTCTAAACACTCAAAACACCTCTTGAACTTGTACCTAGAGAGACCTCTTGGATTGTATATTTTTAGGGTTTCCATCAAGATCCATTCCTTTATGGCCTCAAATTTCAAAGTACTTATAAGTAAGTTGCCCAAATATTTGCTTACTAAATAGAAAATACTTACAAAACCAGACAAAAAGATTGGAACAAGGCATTTTAACTCTTATGCATATGCAAGAACGTTGGTGGAAACATTAAAGAAGATAAAGCCAACTTGCCAGCAACGATTAATCACAACTTGAAAGTTTCAGACAAAACTTGAGTGTGAGAAACCACAAAATCACCAGTGAACACAGTGCAAGAAGTCTCAATAATTGAGTGTTGATGATTACTGCTGTGAGGTATGGGTATCCAAGTGACGGGAAGAGTAGCTCGACGTTGGTATGTTGGAGACAGGCGTAAGGGTACAACAATAGAGGTGGACTGAGAGGATGGCTAGGGCAGTCACTCCTTGAATTTTTCAAATTATAACGCGTTTTAGATTTTTTTTTTGTATTTTCTATTGATGATCTGCTTCTTCCCTGAAATTATATAAATTCGCAATCAACTTCACCCCTAATATAATATTATGTGTCCATCCCAAAACTGAAGGATGAGGGCATCTGGTGGTTCTTTATTTGAGAATGCATGACTATGTTTAATCGTATTTCAAAAATGAATATATGGTTGGAGTAGGTGCCTTTTTTAAGTACTCCATTAAGTGATCAACTTAAATTACAAAATTTTACAAGGAATTCAGAGAATCCTACTGGCCTATCATTCATTTTTTTTTTCCGAAGCAAAATATATAAAACAATAAATCTTAATGAAGGCCCAATTCCAGATTATTTTGGGAACATGTCGTTTCTTGAAGTCCTTGATCTTGGTTTCAACTCACTCAATTCATCCATACCAAACTCCTTGTATAGTTCAAACCATCTTCAATTCCTTACTCTTGCTCTTAAAGGTTTACAAGGTGAAATTTCGATTGCCATTGGAAACTTGAGCTCTCTCATTCACCTTGATCTTTCAGCTAATCAGATGCAAGGAAAAGTACCAGCTTCTTTGGGAGATCTTTGCAAATTGAAGGACATGGATTTGTCATATAATGGAATTGATCTAGACATTTCACAAATCCTAGAGAGTTTGTCTAAATGCGGTTTGAATAGCTTAGAGTCATTGAGTATGGCATATGACAAACTTTCTGGCCATTTAACATATCAACTTGGCCAATTTAAAAATTTAGCTATCCTGTACCTTGTTCAAAACAAAATTTCTGGTCCCATTCCATTGTTGATAGGGGAGTTATCATCTTTGAAAGTCTTTCATGTTTCAAAAAATCAATTAAATGGTATTTTAAGTTTTTGGCAGTTGAAAAATTTAGAAACTCTTAAATATTGGGCAAAATCAATTGGAATGAGTTGTATTAGAAACTCACTTTTCTAATCTCACGAGGTTGATAACTTCAGTGGCATTCGAAAACATGATAAGATTTGAATCAAACTCAAGTTGGATTCCTCCGTTTCAATTTGGAATTATCAAATTGAGCCAATGGCATCTTGGCTCCAAGTTTCCCCAGTGGTTGAAGTTCCAAACGAAGTTGTATGCTTTAGATATCTCTCATGCAGGAATTTCAGAAGTCCTACCCACTTGGTTTTTGAAACTTTCCACTCAATTTGAATATGTGAATCTTTCCTCTAATCAACTTATTGGAAGGATTCCATATTTGAATGTAGGAAACATTGTTGACCTAAGCTCAAACCGATTCTCTGGTCCACTGCCAAGACTGTTGTCAAACCGATTCTTTGGTCCACTGCCAAGACTGTTGTCAAACCGATTCTCTGGTCCATTAGAATATTTAAGTTTATCAAGGAATTTATTTTCAGGATCCCTTTCTGAATTTGTTTGCAATTTATCAGTGACATCAGTGCTAGTTCTTTGCATTGATACAAATCTTCTCTCTGGAGAAATTCCAGATTGATGGAACATTGGGCAGGGATTGAAGTTATTAAATTTGGGAAACAACAATTTGACAGGAAAAATCCCATCTTCTTTGGGAGATACAAGTCTTTAAATGCTAAACCTTCGGAACAATAACATGTTTGGATAATTAGCCTCCACTTTGCAAAATTGTACTAATTTGGTTATTCTTGATCTCAGTTAAAATCATTTCAGTGGAAGTGTACCAGCATGGATTGGTGACAAGCTCTCTAATCTTGTGGTACTAAGCCTCCGTTCAAATAACTTTGATGGTCATATTCCTCGTACAATTTGCGCTCTTCAATATCTTCAGAACTTGGACCTTGGACACAACAACATTTAAGGAGCTATTCCAAATTGTTTGACATTTAAGTGCAATGGCCACTGAAGAAAAACAACATACCTACTACTCTGAGTGGTTGTACAATGATGCTAATGCAGAAACAAGCATTTCTTTTATGGGTGCGTCATTGGTACTGAAAGGACGAGAGGACTTGTATAGTACCGCACTAGGACTTGTAACCAGCATGAATCTATCAGATAACAGTTTCATAGGAGAGATTCCAAAAGAAGTTGAAACTCTCATTGGGCTATTGTCATTAAAATTTTCAAGGAATCTCCTAACAGGAAATATACCAGACAACATTGGCAACTTGAAGTTGACGGAATCTCTTGATTTGCCGATGAATCAATTGCATGGTGGAATCCCTTCAAGTTTGTCCAATTTGAACTTCTTGAATCACTTCAACGTGTCCTACAACAACCTAACTAGACAAATCCCAACAGCCACTCAGCTTCAAAGCTTTGAAATCTCTTCCTTCTTGGGCAATTATCTTTGCGAGCCTCCCCTCAGAAAAGCTACAGCGCTGAAGGTTTTCTGACAGATACTACAAAGAATGGAGACAACAGTAGAAGAAGTAGGGTGAAAAGGTGTTATGTGAGCATTGTTGTCGGTTTTGTAATGGGATTTTGGGGAGTTGTGGCTCCCCTGTTTTTCATAAGGTCTTGGTGGCATGTTTACTATGCAAAGTTGGAGCACAATCGTAACAAGTTGTATGCGTTTTGGGCTACTAAGTGTATGTAGTTCAATGGGGAAACAATAACATGTATAATTAATGTTTGCGTGTGTTTGTAGTTTATCATATAAGATTCATATATATTGAAAATTTTATAGAAAACAAGCTTTCAAAGCAAAAAAGATGAGGAAGAGCAGAAAACAAAGAGAATGAATGCAAAAGATCAAAGCAAAATTGAACTAAGATGGAGATTGCATCATATTTCACTTTTAACCATTCTAATAAACCCAATTTAAAACATGATTACAAAGGAAAAACATGCTTGAAAGCAAAATTACAGTTGTTAAGTGTAAAAGCAACACTTAACTTAAAACAGACTCAAAAAACAACCAATAAACAACATTACAATTGTCTTACAAAACATATTAAACTCCCAATATCATGCTCAACACATTAACACTCCACCTTGAGATTGATATTGGACATACCAAGCTCGTGTTTGAAAAAGAGAATTATATTTATCGAAAGAGCTTTTGTCATCAAATCAACAACCTGTATTTTTGAATAGCAAAATTCCAACTTAATCTGCAAATTCTTCTCAACTTCATGAATTGCATGAAACTTTACATTTATGTGCTCTGTTCTACCATGCTGAACTGGATTTTCAGCAATCGCTATAGCAGACTTGTCACAAAGTAGAACAATAGCATCTTCTTGCTCAAATCCAAGATAGAAAACAAATTTCGCAACCAAATTGCTTGATTTGCTGTAGATGCAACAACAATGTATTCAGCTTCAGCAGTTGATTGAGCCATAACTTGTTGCTTCTTTGAACTCCAACAAATTACACCTGAACCAAGATTAAAAAAACATATCCAGATGTACTCTCCGTATCATCCAAACTTCCAGCCCAGTCATTGTCAGAGTATCCATTCAACAATACACTACCAATCTTCAAATAATTCAACCCCTCACACATTGTGCTTTTCACATATATGATAACTCTCTTAGCAACACCCAAATGAACATCAATTGGTGAACTCATAAATCTTGATAGCAATGTTGCAAGGAACATTAAATTTGGTCTTGTTGTTGTCAAAATATAACAAACTTCCAACTAAGCTTCTAAAGGAGGGATCCTCAAGCTACTCATCATCATTCTTTAACAGGTTCAAGTTAAAATGGTGAAGCAACTCTTTTGCATGATTCCAACTTGAATTTCCTTAGAACATCTAAGGCATATTTCTGATCTGAAATAAAGATACCAACCTCATTTGATTTATTTCCATGCTGAGAAAATAGCTCATCAAGCGAATATTAAACATCTCAAATTCCTCTTGCATATTCAACTTGAATGTTGAATCAACTTCAACATTACTTCCCATTACCAATAGATCATCAACATAAAGAGAAACAATAAAAAAATAATCATTCTCACTTTTCTTAAGATACGAAGTAGCTTCATTGATGCTCCTTTGAAATCCCATTTTCTGCAAATAGGAATCAATTCTATAATATCAGGCTCTTGGTGCCTGTTTCAGGCCATAAAAAGCTTTATTGAGCTTGTACACTTGATGCTCATTTCCAAAAACTATAAAACCTTCAAGTTGACTCATATATATGTCTTCTTCAAGCTCTCCATTCAAGAAAGCAGACTGTACATCCAAATCGAATACATTCCATCCCATCTGACCAGCTATAACAATGATCAGTCTGATGGTGTCGACTCTGGCAACAGGTGAAAATGTGTCACCATAATCAACTCCATCTATCTGTGCATACCCTTTTACCACTAACCTTTCCTTGTACTTGAACACAATTCCATTAAGGTTGAACTCAGTCATATACACCCACTTTACGCCTATAATATTCTTGTCAATAGGTCGACCAGTTAAGAACCATGTATCATTTTTCTTAATTGCAAAAATTTCTACCTTCTTTGCCTCAATTCATTCAGCTACCTTTGCAGCTTCAATAAAACTTGTTGGTTCAACAAAGATGAAATTGCACCTCTCAACATTATCAATTGTAATGGTCTCTTCAGTCTAAGGTCTGTTGTCATGCTTTTGCATATCATTCTTCTCCCAATTCCAATAAGAACCTTCATAAAAAATAACATCTCTTATTACCATAATGTTCTTAGTTTCTAGATTGAAGACCCTATACCCCTTGGATTGAGAGGAATAGCCAATAAAAATCCCTTTTTAGACTTTTCATCTAACTTGGACCTCATATTGGCAGGTATATGCCCGAAACAAACTAAGCCAAATACTTTAAGGTGTTCCACAAATGGCTTAAATCCATACCAAGCTTCGAGAGAAGTCTTCCCATTTACAAACTTAGTTGCTAACCTATTGAACAAGTACACCGAGGTAGCAACAGCTTCTGCCTAAAATGACTTAGGAAGTTGTTTTTCAGTGAGCATACATCTTGACATATTCAAAAAAAAATATACTCCTTTTACAAACTCCATTTTTGTCGAGGAGTGGGAGGAATAGTGAGCTGATGATGAATCCCAACGTCTTTGCAAAAATCATTGAACTCCTTGGAAACATATTCTCTACCATTTTCTATTCTTAAAACCTTTAATCTACAATCACTTTGGCTTTTAGCAAATTTCTTGAATTCTTTGAACGATGTCAATACATTCAACTTAGATTTCAAGAAATAAACCCATTACATCCTTATTAAATCGTCAATAAACAACACAAAATACTTGCTTCCATTCAAGGAATGTATCTTCATTGGACCATGAGAAGCATCATAATTGTCAAATAAATACGTGTTTTCTCAATTAAATAAGCTAAAACGTAGTATAGAGAAGAAATGGCTGACCCATAGATATTTAGAAATTTCCAATGTCGATTTGAATTGATCTTTAACCAAGAAATCTGTAAGAAAAATAAAAAAAGGGATAAGACACTTTACCCACCTTGGCAAGTACCTGGAACGGTCCCTCGTGTCTCCGTATTAGTCCTTTGTGAACGCTTCGAAGAGCTTTGAACTGTTGTGGCAAAAGCTTCACAAGGACTAAGTCTCCAACGGAGAACTCTCGATGTCGCCTCTTCTCGTCCGCCCACTTCTTCATCTTCTTCCTCGTTTTCTCTAAACATGCGCGGGCGATGTCGGCGTTCTCCTCCTATGACTTAGCCATCTTGGTGGCTCCAGGACTTTTGCCCTCGTCAAGTGGCATTATCAATGTGTGCAGCGTGAGCGGTTGTTGTCCGGTTGCAAGCTCGAACGGACTCCGGCTTGTGGCTTCACTCCGCTGCAGGTTATAAGAGAATTGGGCGACGTCTAGCAACTTTACCCAATCTCGCTGGTTGGCACTCACGAAGTGCCGCAAGTAACACTCCAACAACGTTCGGTCTGCACATCAGTTTGAGGGTGAAAGCTTGTGGAGAAATTTAACTCGGTGCCAAGGAGCTTGAATAATTCCGTCTATAGGCGTTCGGTGAATCGAGGGTCTCGGTTACTAATGATGCTCCTTGGTAAGCCCCAATGCTTCACGACGTTCTTGAAGAACGCTCGCGCGGTCTCCTTCGCAGTGCAATCCTTGAGGCATGGTATGAAAGTCCCATACTTGGAAAATCGGTCCACGACGACCATGATCAAACCGTATCCCTCGGACTTGGGTAATGCACTAATGAAATCCAAGGTGATTGAATCCCAAGGTCTTTGGGGAATTGGTAAAGGTTCGAGTAATCCCGCCGGCTGTCGGTTCTCTACTTTGTCTTGTTGGCACACAAGACAAGTCTTCACGTAAAGCTCCACGCTATCCTTCATATGGGGCCAAAAGTATGATGTCTCTAGCAATGCCATAGTGCGCTTTTGACCCGGATGACCAGCCCACTTGGTGTTGTGGCACTCTTTGATAAGATCTCGCCTTAAGTTGTCCCACTTTGGAACATAGATTCGCCGTCCCTTGGTGTAGAGTAGACCGTCTTCTACCCAAAACCGTTGGGTTTTGCCATCGCTAGTCAGCTTTACTAATTCTCTTGTCAGTGGATCTTGCTCAAAGCCTTCCTTGATGCGTTCCAACACGGTTCCCTTGGCTAAAGAGATCGCTGCAAGCTCTGTCTTTCGACTTAAGGCATCGGCTACGACGTTGGCTTTGCCCGGCTTGTATTCCAACGTGTAGTCGAACTCAGCTAGGAAGTCCTGCCACCTAGCTTGTTTTGGTGACTTCTTCTGAGTCTGAAAATAACTCGTCGCCACGTTGTCGGTCTTGATGGTGAAGTGCGCGCCGAGTAAATAATGTCTCCATACCCGCAAGCAATGGATGATGGCTGTCATCTCCTTTCTTGCACCGTGTACCGCCTCTCGGTGTCATTCAGCTTGCGGCTCTCAAATGCTACCGGATGTCCCTCTTGCATTAGTACTCCCCCGATAGCGAAGTCAGATGCATCAGAGTGCACCTCGAATGGCTTGGTAAAGTTAGGTAGGACCAAGACAAATTCTTGGCTAACTACTGCCTTCAAGTCCTCAAAGGCCTCTTGACATTGTTTGGACCACTCCCACGTCTTTCCCTTCTTGAGTAGGTCCGTCAATAGTGATGCTCGCACTGAGTAACCTGTATAAACCGGCGATAATAATTTACTAGACCAATGAAAGACCTCATCTCACCTACCTTGGTCGGCGGCTCCTACTCGGTTATGGCCTTGATTTTGCTCCCGTCCATCAATAGCTTCCCGTGGCCGATTACATGTGCAAGGAAGTGTACTTCCTCGGTGGAAAATGTGCACTTTTCCTTCTTGACGTACAGCTCGTTCTCTTGAAGTATCTTGAACACAATCCTCATGTGGTCTACATGTTCTCCAATGGAGTTACTATATACCACGATATCGTCCAAGTACACCACCATG